GGGCCCCACATTTCCTAAACCCGCCCCTGCCAGGTAAACTCACCAGTCCTTCCTCTCCAGGCTCTGCAGAGGTCACTGCCAGGTCATTCCCCGTGGAGTCGAAGGCGTTGATCTGGATGCCCCAGTTGGTCTCCGGCTGCCGCAGCCACACCGCCAGCACCTGTTTGACGTCGATGCTCTGCCACGAGCTGACCCCGGCGCTGACGTCGATCTTCAGGGAGCGGATCCGTATGTGCCTCTTCCCCTCCGTGGCCGGCATCAGGCGGGAGATCTGCAGGAAGACGGTGGTCGCTTCTCTGGCGGGACGCATGTGGACCCAGAGCTGCGCGCGGACGATCCGGTTCGCCTGCAGCTTCTGGATGAAGGAGAAGAAGCAGCACTTTGGATGGCCGTCCACCTGCACCACGGAGCTGGCTGCACAAACAGGGAGGAGGGGGGGAATAATGAAATGAGATTGAAATTTTAATTAAAACAAACCAGAGATTAAAACATTTGCAGTTTGGAACTTCTGGACCTTTAGACTAAATCCGAACCGAACCGACTTCATGCTTTTAGCTCCAGGTCCAACAAAGAGGAACATTTCTGACTTGGAAGTGAGCTTCATCTGCAGGAAGTTTTTATTTTATTTATTTTATTAGGTTTTATTTTCACTTCTGCGCTTTTATGGCTCCTCATCCATCAAGTGGCGGATTGTCATTGTGTGTTTAATGTTTTTGTCGATTCTTCTTGCAGTTTTTTTTTTATCAGATACATGTAAAAAGTTAAAATAATATACATATTTATAATCTATAAGAAAATAACCAGAAAAACAGTTTTTAATCATTAATATAAATTCTTCATCATCACCCAGAAAATCCTTCAAACGCAAACATTTAACGGCTTTTATTGCAGCATTTTGTGCGTAAAACGAATTTAATCATTTCGCTATAATGTATTTTATAGGCTTAAAAACATAAAGACAATTGTTTCAAGATTGTTAATAAATCCTTTTATATCAAAATCTCAGTATAACGCAAACATAAATGGTTGCCATCACTCCTATGGAGGGGGGGACATCGTTTTATGATCTAAACAGGCGCAGAATCCGTCACGTTTTTGTCTTGAAAAAGCTAAATTTAACAGCCTTTATTTCTGGTTTTATTAAACCTTTATCCACCAAAAAAACTAAAAAACTCCAGGTGATGCCATAATAAACGCTCCTTCTCCAGTTCTGGCACATAGAACCTGGTTTTACGCATAAAAACTCCAAGAAACTATTTTATTGCTTTACAAGATCTATAATAAACAGGTTTAGTTAGAAAATGTAAAAAAAAATAATCACCAAAATATGCAAAACTCCACGTTCAATGCAAAAATGTGTGTTTGCATTTCTGTGGGTGAGATTGTTATTTTTTCATCTCGTGCGTAAAAGTTGGTAAAACCAGGTTTTACGCACTGGCTGAGTTTTCCACCCGCGGACCTGAACCCAAACGCAGACTTACGTTCAGAGGCCGTGATCATCACTGTCTCTGTAGTCGCGTGCTCGTCGTCCTCTTCCAGAAGCAAATCCCTGCTGTCGTCTCCCAGCACGTCGTACTGGTCGAGCAGCTGCTGCAGCGGCGGCGCTTTGGGGAGCAGCTGCTGCACGGTGTCCCTGCTGATGTTCGGAGCCTCCTTCATCCGCAGCTTGCTCAGGATCTGGGACTTGATCGCGTTCAGCCGCATGGTCTTCATGTGCTGCCGCACTTCGCAGGTGAGGCACTGCTCCGCGTCCGGGAGGCTGGCGGCGGAGGGCGGCTGCTGCTGCGCCTCCTGCTCGCTCAGAACCACTGGAAACAGAACGGCCAAGAGGCTGAAGCAGAGCGCAGTCCGGCACAGAAGCATCTCCTCAGCTGGTCGCGTTTTTCAGGTGAGGAGGAAGAAAGATCCCCTGATGAGAGCTGGGAGGAGATGCGCCACAGAGCTGCGTTTGGATGAATGAGGCGCGCGGACGGGGGTCATAGTTTATTACTGTGCACCTTTTTATACTCCAACTTTAGCCTGTTATGATTGGCTGAAGAGGAAACAATGAATTTAAACGGACTTTCAGGATTTTTTTATTTAATCCGAGTTAATCCACAGATACAGAAAATCAGCCAAACTTTAAGGCATTTGTTTTACAAATCAGGATAATAAACTTTTATGTTTGATTTATTTTCTGAGTTTCCCACCGGATCTATTTCATCTGACAGCAGCTTCATTATTTCAGTTTGATTCAATAAAACATTTTAAGATTAATTCGATTTTATCTTCTAGAAATTCACAGATTTTCATCAGATATGAGAAAGAAAAGATAAATAAGTTTAAACTATAATCGATATTAGATCAACGCTTTAATAATGCTACAGTATGGAGGACAGCGCCACCATGTGGCAGGTCATATTATGTGCAACAAAGATCAGAGGATTAATTAAATAATGGCAATAATGCATCAAAAACAAAATAACCGTTCAGTAATTCATTCAGATTCTACACCTCTAATTTTTTTTTTTTACATTTGATGACGTTTTTCATCTGAATTTTAAAAGTCAGACCATCTGTCAGCAATTAAAATATAAAAACATTTACTTGATCTATTTTATTCTATCTACTTCTTAATATTCCGTTTTGTATAATAAGATATAAAAAATCTTCTGAAGGTTGATTTATTTTGATTTAACTTTTTTATGTTTTTTTAATCAAATGAATTTAATCACAACTTTCAGTTTTGTTCTATTCATGCGCAGTTTCTCTTCCCTCCACAGACATTTTATACGCGGAGGCCTCATTGGACGCTGGCCTACGTTCCTAGAGGGCGGCCATCTTGGATCAGACCACAGTCAGACAGCTGCTGTCAGAATGAGCAGGAGGCGCCTTAGATCTGATTTTAATCAGTCAGAAATAATATTACAATAATGTCTTCCATTTCACTACTCCTTAAAAAGAACAAAGCAAATTCTAAGATTACCTTTTAGTTAGATTACACAGATTTATTCAGATTAAACTGAAGTCAAAATGGATGAGATATAGGCAAAGTTATATATTTTGCAATTAAATATTAATATGATAAACGTTACGTTTTATATTATTATATGATAAGATCATGTTTTACATATTTTATATATTTATATAGTATATTATAATTATTCAGTATTTTAAAGGATTAGGCTACTCTTTGAGTATTGTGATCTATAGAGGAAACTGCGAAAGAGTAAAGTTATTTTGTTTTTGTTTCATTAATCTTATGTTAATTTTATTTATTGTCATTGTGAAGACTTTATTGTCAAATCGTAGTAAATGGTAAATTTACATTGGGTCTAACCAAAGGCTTTTTGTCTTTATAAATTCGTCTAAAGTTTTTCTAAAACTCTTTTTCAAACTATGCTTTTTTATCATTATTTATGCTAATGTAAACATTTGTTCTTTAATCAGTTAATCTGTGTCATATATTATATATTTATGTTTTAGAATTAGTTATTGTAATATTATCTCTGACTCGTCTGAACTGTGGTCTGACCCAAGATGGCGCCCAATGAGGCGGCTATCTGATATGCTTCTTTCCATAGATATCCATAATAAATTAATAAATTAATAAATTTATTATGGATATCTATGCTTCTTTCAACCTGCTGCCTTTGAGCGGAAGCAGCGTCATATGACGCGTCAGGTGAACCTGCGTAAAGCGCACGTGCGCAGACTGCGGTAGGAAAGCTGAGTGAATCAGAACCAATATTAGAATATCTCTCAGATAAATAATTGAATTTATTAATCAATAAAAAAACATCTCAGATCGTTTCTGCGCTTTATTTTGAAAGTTAGAGCCGGAAGCGGAATCCTCCTGAGATCAAAGTCTGTCATTGAGGTGACGTCAGTTCTGCTGGACCGAGGCAGAAGTTAAAGTGAAGATGCCGTTCATCGACCTGCAGAGCAACCTGGCCTCCGGCTGCTTCTCTGAGGATTTCCTCCGGAGCTTCTGCTCCATCTGCGCCGCGGCTCTAAACAAGCCGGAGGAGGTGAGCGACCCGCCGGGTCACCTGGACCGGTCCGACCCCCGCTGGAGCCCGGACAGAACCAGATCATCGGCCGGTGTTGTCTCGTTAAAAGCGGCCCCGACATTTAAATCTCGCGGGAACGCGCATGTGAGGACAGTGACCGTCAGAGCGACTAGAACCAGAGGCTGGGGTTTGGACTTTGGTTCTGTTTGCTCTCTGTGGAACAATTTAGTAGAAAAAAAGACTTTTCTACATAAACTGTTCAGAAGAAGGTCCAACAGATCTGAACTTTCTCCAGAACCTTCTTCTCAATCTTCCCTCTCCAGAACCAGAGCGGTCCAAGAACCGTCAGATCTGCAGAACCCAGAGGTCCTGGTCAGAATCGGACCTTCAGGGCGGAGCCACAGAGACGGACGGTTCGGTCCACAGAGTCCAGTTCTGGCCCAAGAGACGGATTCTGTCCTTAGAGACTGGTTCGGTCCACAGAGACGCATTCTGTCCTTAGAGTCCGGTTCGGTCCACAAAGTCCAGTTCTGTACCTAGAGAAGAAACAATCTACCGTTTTGGTTCTGATCCGTTTATCTCTCTAAATGTTCTGTCTACAGACAGCTGTCGATGTTTGGACCTTTGGTTCTGGTCCTCTTGGCGCCGCCTTAAGGTCGACAGTCTGGTCCTGATCCTCTCTGCTTAGGTTCTGGTCCTGTTCTGGACCGGTCCAGAGATGGATGACCTCTGGTTGGACTGAATGAGGGAACCAGGGTTCTAGCGCTGCTTCTTTGGGCCGCTGGAAGCCATTTTGAACAGGAGGTGCCGTGAAAATGTTTTAGTTTTTTTGGACTAAAGGCCTCTGAGCCTAAAGCCTGTTTTAAAATAGAATAAATAAATAAATAGATTTAGATTCTCTACTTTATTGTCACTTCAGTGTAAAACCAGGATCTGTAACACAGACATCAGGTGAATATATGCACTATTAATTAAACTCACTGCCATCAGAGGCGGCGGACGGTCTCCTCACTCTGGCGGCTCTCCGTTGTCATGGTTACGGTACCAGAGTTCTTCACTGGCGATTCTGAGCCGTATTTCCTCCTGGTTTCTGTCAGATTATGTTCATTTATGAGTCTGCTGCAGCGAGCGGGATGCCTCTTTACTCACCGACCACTAGCCTGCTTGACGTTGCCGTGACAACTTCAGTTTCGTGAACTTGTGTTGATTAGGCCTCAAAATAAATAAAATAAAATCCAAATTTATAGGAAAATTTTTTAAAAAGTCAATCATTTCCTGAAATATTTATAAGATATTTACAAATTTTGCAAAGTATTTTTAATAATTTTATTTGATAATTTCCCTCCCACCACTAGGGGGGGCTCCAGCATGCCCTCTTCCCGCGGCCATGCGTTACGGTACCATTGGTTCCGGCCGTGGGACCATCATCATACTCAGCGGTACCGCAGTGTTCTGGTTCTGTTCGGTTCTAACGGGCCGCCTCACTCAGAGGAACCAAAGCAGCCGACTCGGTGATAGAGGGATGCTGTGATCTGATTGGTTCTGGTTCATGAGAACAAAGCATAGATAGAATGATGGTCCCTATGTCCTCCAGCAGTCTAAGCCTATAGCAGCAGAACTATATCTCTATATCTCTGAGAGCAAAGTGCTCCGTTAAGAACAGTCAGATCTGATATATTTTTCCTCCCCACTGTCGCCGCATGCAGTATCCTGAGAGTCAGCGACTGGATTCAACCTGCTGGTTTCCTTAGAAATCTTAGAAGCAATGGGAATAATAGAGCTGCTCCGTTTGGGTCTGGGATCTTGACCGGTTCTGTTTTCTTCTGGATCTCCCAGAGGATGAACGTGGTGGTCCATCCGGGTCTGCCCATGCTGATGAACGGCTCCTGCTCGCCATGCGTGGTGCTGTCCGTGTTGGCCATCTCTGTGACGGACAGCGCCGAGAAGAACAAGGAGCACAGCGCCAAGATCTTCAGCTTCCTGACCAAAGAGCTGGGTCTGACTGAGGACAGGTGAGTCTGTGTTCTATTAACTCTAGATCTAGAGGACTCTCTGTAGGATGTGGCTTGTGTTTCCGTCGTTGACCCCGCTGACCTTTAGGATCCTCTGTTACCTAAAACCTCCCAGTACTTCTGATATTTTCTAGATTTTTCTACCCCATATGTTTTTTCTCGGTGGGCCTGCAGGAGATCAACCAGCGGTTCTGCTCAGGTCTTCAGGAAACTCTGGTCCATTTATGGGCCTTTAGCACGGTCGGTTCTGGTGGATCCATTTGCTGGCGTTACCATGGTGATGATTAAACATTAGGGCCTTCGTGGGGATGGGTGGGTACCTGGTCCTGCTGGACTTCGCTCGGTGGTTCTCTGTGTTTCTTCTGCCTCTGTTCCTCCACATTTTTTCCTTCCACTCATCTTTCCATGGACGTGCAGGGCTGCAGCCCCCTGAGACCCCCCAGCTCCTCCTGTGGCTCTCTGATCAGGACCTTTCTGTTTTCAAACTTCCAACTTTCTTCTTGGTCTGATTTCAGAGTTCAGGATTTTCATTCAGTCTTTAAATAAAATGTTTTTGTCCTTCTGAGGTTTGTCAGGAATTTCTGCTGCTTTTGGAATCTGAGTCGAACAGAATCCCGGTCCGATGGTCATAATGTTCATTTCTTACTCCGCTCCGGTCCGGCCAGGTCAGGATCCGCTATTTCAATCGCAACAAACAGATCCGGTTTGTCAAAGTAAAATATATTAGAGCATAATTCTTCTATATTCCCTAAAACTAAGACTGTTTAATTAAAGGGAAACACTGTTTTTTTTCCATTGTTTCCTTGATTTTCCGTTATTCCATCATGTTCTTCTCTCCCAGATGAGTTTAGTGTCATTTGGAGCCGTTCTGAAGATATTCCGTTAGGTTATATCCAGTAACGTCTTCCTATGGGCAACGACTTGAAGGCACAAACTAAACTGTTCATCATTTATTCTCTATGGTACGCCAGCATTCAGAACATGGAGGCCAATCACTGTCCCCCAGACATCCACCGTTAGATTTTATATATCTTTTAAAAACAAAGCAGAATGTGTATGACGTCATCCGTGCGCTGGATTGGAGTTTATTTTTTTTTAAGCTTTATTTAACCAAAGTACATCACAGCAGGCGGCTACGCTCTACCCCTTCTATTCATTCTAGCTAATGGGATGACGTCATACATGCGCCACTTTGTTTTAAAAAAATATATAAATGTAAAAAAAAGCAGCGTTCCCCTTTAAATGGTTGGATGCAGATTATCGGTTCTTCATCGGACCAGGAAGCAGATTTCTCATCTCCATCAAAATATTTATTTTATACTGAGAGGCTTAAAAGTTTCATCAAATCCAGTCTTTCCAAGAGCAACGCAGCAGATGTCTACCTGTGGCTGCAGACGGTTTCCTGTTTCTGCAGACGGTTTCCTGTTTCCGCAGACGGTTTCCTGTGGCCGCAGACGGTTTCCCGTTTCCGCAGACGGTTTCCCGTTTCTGCAGACGGTTTCCTGTGGCCGCAGACGGTTTCCTGTGGCCGCAGACGGTCTCCCGTGGCCGCAGACGGTTTCCCGTGGCCGCAGACGGTTTCCCGTGGCCGCAGACGGTTTCCCGTGGCCGCAGACGGTTTCACGTGGCCGCAGACGGTTTCACGTTTCTGCAGACGGTTTCACGTTTCTGCAGACGGTTTCACGTTTCTGCAGACGGTTTCCCGTGGCCGCAGACGGTTTCCCGTTTCTGCAGACGGTTTCCCGTTTCTGCAGACGGTTTCCCGTGGCCGCAGACGGTTTCCCGTGGCCGCAGACGGTCTCCCGTGGCCGCAGACGGTCTCCCGTGGCCGCAGACGGTCTCCCGTGGCCGCAGACGGTCTCCCGTGGCCGCAGACGGTTTCCCGTGGCCGCAGACGGTTTCCCGTCTCCGCAGACGGTTTCTTGTTGCCTCAGACGGTTTCTTGTTGCCGCAGACGGTTTCCCGTTTCTGCAGACGGTTTCCTGTGGCCGCAAACGGTTTCCCGTGGCCGCAGACGGTTTCCCTTCTCCGCAGACAGTTTCTTGTTGCCGCAGACGGTTTCTTGTTGCCGCAGACGGTTTCCCGTGGCCGCAGACGGTTTCCCGTGGCCGCAGGCGGTTTCCCGTGGCCGCAGACGGTTTCCCGTGGCCGCAGACGGTTTCCCGTTTCTGCAGACGGTTTCCCGTGGCTGCAGACGGTTTCCCGTTTCTGCAAACGGTTTCCCGTGGCCGCAGACGGTTTCCCGTTTCTGCAGACGGTTTCCCGTGGCCGCAGAAGGTTTCCCGTGGCCGCAGACGGTTTCCCGTTGCCGCAGACGGTTTCCCGTGGCCGCAGACGGTTTCCCGTGGCCGCAGACGGTTTCCCGTTGCCGCAGACGGTTTCCCGTGGCCGCAGACGGTTTCCCGTGGCCGCAGACGTATTCCTCAACCTGTTTCATGACTGTAGGATTTTTTCTCGTTTGCAGGATTGTGATCCAGTTCCATGAGCTGCAGCCTCACCAGGTCGGGAAGAAGGGAACCGTGATGAGCTTCCTGTGAAGAACGGCGGTCCAAACGGCAGAACACCTGGACCCTGACCTCATTCCACAGACGCACCGATCTGAGCGGACTGGGCCCAAACGTTCTGTTAGCTGATGTTCAACCTTCCTCCAGAACCAGGTGGTTCTGATTCCATCTGAAACGGGTCTATAGGTTGGATGGTTGATCAGGGTCGGAGTATCTGGAGCCGATCAGCTCTGGGCTCGATTTCTTTTCCTGTAGATGAAATAAAGACAAAATGTTGAACGATGGTCGTCTTTATTGCTGCAGATCTCAGTATTTAATGAAGTTAGTGTGAGAGGAGAAGATGGAGGACCAGAGAGGGTGGGAGGAGCATCTGTGATGGAAGCAGATGTTCTGGATAAATACCCATCATCCTTCACTTCAGCCGTGATTTTACCTTTTAGTTCACTACTGCGCCTCACTACAGCTGCTCCAGTTCCTTCCCAGTAACGTTCCAATACTGCAGACTGGTTCCGTTATCAGATCTGCTTCTGATTTAATCTGTTAAACCTGATCAGATCTGATAAAAAAATATAAATATTTATTAGGCTGTTCAAACATTTAAAGGTTAAAAAGCAGCAAAATAAATGTTAGAAATAATGTAGTTCCGGTTTCTGGACGCCAGGGGTCGTAGTTTCCCGGTTTTGGCTGCAATAAAAAGATCCCTGGATGCATCATTGAAGAACTTCATCCAATACTTTGGAGACTGAAGCAGCAGGACTGGATGAAGATCTGGACCTTCTGCCTGAAGGAGGGTCTCCTACTGAACATCTGGAGGCTTCCTGGGTCTGATGGATCCAGATGTTTTACTGCATCATCACAGCTTTTAGCTCATGACTGCAGATGGAACGAAAACATTCAGTACCTTCTTTATTAAAACCTGAATAAATGACAGAAACCTGCAGCTTTTCTNTTCCTCAACCTGTTTCATGACTGTAGGATTTTTTCTCGTTTGCAGGATTGTGATCCAGTTCCATGAGCTGCAGCCTCACCAGGTCGGGAAGAAGGGAACCGTGATGAGCTTCCTGTGAAGAATGGCGGTCCAAATGGCAGAACACCTGGACCCTGACCTCATTCCACAGACGCACCGATCTGAGCGGACTGGGCCCAGATGAATGTTCTGTTAGTTGATGTTCAACCTTCCTCCTGATCCAGAACCAGGTGGTTCTGATTCCATCTGAAACGGGTCTATAGGTTAGATGGTAGATCAGGGTCGGAGCATCTGGAGCCGATCAGCTCTGGGCTCGATTTCTTTTCCTGTAGATGAAATAAAGACAAAATGTTGAACGATGGTCGTCTTTATTGCTGCAGCTCTCAGTATTTAATGGAGTTAGTGTGAGAGGAGAAGATGGAGGACCAGAGAAGGTGGGAGGAGCATCTGTGATGGAAGCAGATGTTCCAGATGATAAATCCCATCATCCTTCACTTCAGCCGTGATTTTACCTTCTAGTTCACTACAGCTGCTCCAGTTCCTTCCCAGTAACGTTCCAATACTGCAGACTGGTTCCGTTATCAGATCTGCTTCTGATTTAATCTGTTAAACCTGATCAGATCTAAAAAAAAATAAATATTTATTAGGCTGTTCAAACATTTAAAGGTTGAAAAGCAGAAAAATAAATGTTAGAAAGATGTAGTTCCGGTTTCTGGACGCCAGGGGTCGTAGTTTCCCGGTTTTGGCTGCAATAAAAAGATCCCTGGATGCATCATGGAAGAACTTTATCCAATACTTTGGAGACTGAAGCAGCAGGACTGGATGAAGATCTGGACCTTCTGCCTGAAGGAGGGTCTCCTACTGAACATCTGGAGGCTTCCTGGGTCTAATGGATCCAGATGTTTTACTGCATCATCAGAGCTTTTAGCTCATGACTGCAGATGGAACGAAAACATTCAGTACCTTCTTTATTAAAACCTGAATAAATGACAGAAACCTGCAGCTTTTCTAAGAAGAAGAGGATTAAACTGAGTCACATAGAGATGAAGATATGAAAACATGTCAAAGGAATCTGATCTTATTGCATAAAAATACCAGGAAAAAGTAAAACACTGCAAATAACAGCAGTTTAAACATTGATTTTAGTTTATTAGTGAGGATTTGATGTTTTATTCCTCTGATATTATTCCTTGTTAGGTGTAAAACTTTCTCTGTTGTGGATTTTTCTCTGTAATAAATCTTCAATCTGAGACAAAGCTGAACAAACATCAGAGCAGGAGGGGCTGCATTATATATGTGGTTTAATTAATTAAAGTTTCACTAATCAGCAGAAATTATAGACCTGGTTTGAAATATTCTAGTTCAGAAGAATCTAGTCCAGGTTAGATGTTTCTATGTGTTTTAGTTTTTTAATTAGAGCAGATTAAAGAAGCTGAAGGAAGAAAAAATGAATTTATTTATTTCCTGAATCAGAAGCCAACTTCAGCTGCGATCCTCCAGAAAAAAACCTCAGAATAAAAACCAGGAATGAACAAATAAAGTTCTGGTTTCTATTTTCTACAGGCAGCTTTATTATCATCTAGATAAACTCTGCAAAACTTAGCTGCAGGTTTATAATCAGTAATATTTTTCATTCTCAGGTAATTCATAGTTTAAAAAAGAAAAAAAAAATCTTTTAAATTAATTTTTGTTGCTTTGTGAGTTTAGTTTGAAAATCTTAATCGTTTATTTTTGCTTCCTTTAAAAGTTTATGTTGAAAAAATGTGGGAGTTTCTCTCAGGACTTCCGGTTGTTTTTTTCTTTTTAATCTCAGTTTCTGCAGAACAAGCGGACAGCTCCTCTGCAGCAGCAGCTCTACTAGCAGTAGAACTAGTTACAGTAGAACTAGTTACAGTAGAACTAGTATAACTAGTATAACTAGTAGTGATCATGGCTCTGGAACTTTATCTGGACCTTTTCTCTCAGCCATGTCGCTCCGTTTATATGTTTGCAAAGAAGAACCAGATTCCCTTCGAGTTCCAGAAGATTTCTCTGATGGAAGGTGAGTTCAGATTGGCTGGAAGGGTTGCTGGTTCGAAACCCGCTATGACCTGAAAAATATAGAAATTCTAATTAGAAAAGCAGGAAAATCCTGATTTAGTTTGTTGGCTTTTCTTTCTGCATTAAAAGTTAATGTAAACAGGGGCGTGCACAGATATTTTAGGGGCAGGAGTCAACAGGCAGCAATGCTACATTGGTGTCAATTAAATAAATTCCAATATTAAATCCACTGAAAAACATTAAAATAGATTAAGTTTATTTTTTCATTTTGGAGCCAAAAGCTTGATTTACGTTTGAGTATTTTATTATTTCTAGTTTACTATTTTTCTCAGATTTATGACAAACATGAACGTGAAATATTTTGGTTTGAAGTTTGCTTTGACTTTATTCTGAAATCAGGAATTTGTTCAGTTGTATTTTTTGCTGCTGTGGATAACTGTTTCCTGGCTCCGCCCCTTCAGTACAGACAGGTGAGGCTGCAGCACCTGGAATATATTGGAGTTGGCTATCAGGGCCGGGGAGATCCGGGGTTCAGCCTTACAGTTTCTGGCTGCTGCTGCTGCTGCTG